ACAAAGGAGACAAGGGGAAGTGCGTGCGGGGAGGAAGTAGTAGTTTTGCACCCTACTGGCTAGGGCGCTCTCCTAATTATAAACACAGGTCGACTGATAAGAATTTATTACAGAAACCTATGCTGAGATACCCCCTGACCATATTAAATGCATTTTCAGCACAAAATATAACTCCCCTCGTGAGATATTGCGCATGCGCTAAAACAGTAACGTAGCCAGATTCGCGCCTTAAAATGACGCATGAGTCAAAAATTACCAAACACGTTTAATATTGAGTAAAATGACGCATGAGTCATTTTACTCAACGAAAATGCGCCGCAAATGTGAGTAAAATGACTCATGCGTCATTTTACTTGAGTAAAATAACTCTCGTGTGCGCCGGGCATTAGTGACTGGGCTTCAACATTAGTCAGTCCCTGGCGACGGCCCTGCATAATATTATAAACATATAGTTGAAATATTCAAAGTAAACGGATTTTATATATTCTATATTTTAGATACTCTCAGTCTATGTTATTCGTATAACGGTAATTAAAGTTATCCATTGTGCAAATAAAATAAACAGAATTTGTTTCATTTCACTCTGCGGTTTTCTTGCTACTGCATCGCCGTCCTTCCTTTACGGTAGGAGCGAAAAATGATCCGGAATCAAATAAATTACACGCGTTGCGACCACCCATAGGGCCACTACAATAATATCAAGAGTGCATAATAGAGATAGTGCTCTATTATGCACTCTTGATAATATCGATCGATTCAATAGATACACACAGAAAAATATTAAAGGTAAAGTAGTACCTGTGACCACATAGCTGCCTGAATTTTCCAGGTGAGAGCGGGGCATGACCACGGACCACCCTATCACCGCGTGGCTTCGGCACGCAGATGCGCTCATGAAAGTAGATATTGTGAATATTGCCCCCCGGGGGGAGGGGGGGCACTCGCCTCTGAACTGGTTAGGGGGGTGCCTCGGGGACCTTGAAAACCTGACCCTGTTGCAAACCGCTTTGCGCCCTAAAATACACCCTGTACCAATTTTTCTGCACTAAAAAGTATACCCTGTTGCAGTATTACACGCTTCGGTTATGTTTTGTCCTCCTGTCAATATAGGCAGATATTTGTCCAATATCAGCCTGGTGATATTAGCCCAATATTGGGCCGATATTGGACCAATATCTGACTATATTGAACCAATATCTGCATATATTGGTCCAATATTGGCCTGGTGATATTGGCCAAATATTGTTTTGCCAATATTGGGCCAATATCAGCTTGATGGGTGGATATATCTAGATAACCCTGTGCTAATAATTATATTCGAAAAATATATCCTGTGCCAATAATGACGTTCGGAATATATACCCTGTCCAGCGGCACGTCCCCAGTACCTTTAACAATGGGAGTGCCCCCCCCGGGAATATTGCCTTGTAGCCACAGGGACATGAGGCAAAAAAGTGTTATATAAAAAGAGAAGAGATACTTCTCTTTTTATATAACACTTTTTTTTTCGCCTCAGGTCCTTGTGCTTGTAGCACTCGATTACACATAACAATAATAATAATAATAATATATAACAAAAGATTGTGACGAAATATAGTATTATAATGCCTTAACTATTAATATTATCAAGAGTACATAATAGAGACTCTAACATCTCTATTATGTACTCTTGATATTATAAAAGGCATTACAGTAGCGTTCCATGAATCACTTTTAATACAACTCGACTTTTTTTTAAATTATTTCTCGGGAGAGGTCACTACCTTCGCTGCCGTTCCAAAGCCCGTCGCCAGACTACGACCTCTGCGCACTGTCAGTGTAACGCAAGTGGAACTGTCGAGCGTGGACCAGTCTACTCTACGGATTAATAACACAGAGTTCCTTACCTGTTCAACTACTAGTAGTTCAACTAGTTCAAAAGCATATTACAAAGAAAAGGTAGATCCTCTACAACCATCTTTCTCTCTACTAGAGGCGACGGAATAATAATATTAACAATATGAACTGCAAAGTGATGCATATGTCCTCCTTTTTGGTTCTATTACTATTAGTATTATGTTGTGGTTTGTTAACTTTGTTTTCTTCACGAGCTCGAGCTAAGTAAGTGAAATATGTAACTTTATGTTGGACACTGAGGGGATTGAGTGAGCTCACTGCCGCAAACCCCGGCCAAGGCACTTGACTTGGAACGTTTCAATAATAAAATTATGGTAAATAAACACGAAATATATTTACTACCAACGTTTTAATGTGTCTAGACTATTCTCCTTCTCCTATTATTGCTGATAACTTCCTGCCACAAGTACACCGCACGCACGCCGCTGTGCACAAACATTGGAACAACTAATGCTAAAACTAAAAATAAACACACACAAAATAAACTCGTTGTTTGTCCATGTTGTGCCCAAACTTGGAATCTTGCACAAACTTGGAATTTCAGCGTATCCACAGTTTGTGCAACCAATCTTGAGATTGGGCAAACAGAGGTAAACAGAGCTTGCACAAACATATGATTATTAGGATTTCAAATGTTAGATCTATAACTATAAGGTCGTATATACCTTCTTTCCTCAATGTGTTTGGCACCTTTGTATAAATATTAAATGATTATAATAAATAATTGGGTAAATATGAGTTAATCTCTTCTTTAGTTTGCCACCATGCACACCACACACTCGCGTATGAGCGGTTGTTGAAATCACCGACTATTTTCAGTTTGCCCAATCTTGAGATTGGTCAGCCAAACTAGGGAATCCGCAGTTTGGTCAGCAACAATCGCTGCACAATCTCGAGATTGTGCAGATTCCAAGTTTGGGTACGACATCCACAGCGGCGTGCGTGCGGTGTACTTGTGTGTTTCAGAGGAGCATTTGAACGGCGTTTACAGGAAGTTGTTGGCAATAATAGGCAAAAGAGAGTAGAGGAACATTATTCTGGGGGTAAATACATTTCGTGTTTATTTACCATAATTTTATTATTGAAACGTTCCAAGTGCCTGTTTCTGTGAGTGAGCTGCAGTGCTGTAGGCCTATCCACTGTCAGCGAGATAAAAGTCTCCCCCGACTACGCTCATGTTACAACACACGTTTATATAACGAAGTGGCTATATGCCCGGCAGCCGGGCACGGTCTTCGATTTCCTAAATGCCCGGCAGTTTTTAATTTTTGGTGATTTCTCAAGTAAACAGTGTACTACGTGATCCAAAGTATTCTACATTTGTTTAGAAATGTCAAGCGATTTTCGTTAGAACTGTATATTCGAACTAGCCCAATTCTCCTAGCTTCGGATCACTGAGCGAACGAACTCGCAATCGACACTTAGAAAATATCTGACGGTTGCCGGGCACGGTCTTCGATTTCCTAAATGCCTGGCAGTTTTTAATTTTCGGTGATTTCTTAAGTAAACAGGAGGTTAGGTTGCCGGCTGCCGGGCATATATAGCCACAGCGTTTATATAAATATAGCTCTAGAACTATAGCCCTTCGCTCTGTTCCCAATAAAACATGTATATTTAAAGTCATAATTGTATTAACGGTAATCTCAGCCTAATCGAGCCGCAAACATATTTATACTCGGTAGTGTAAATATGTAAATAATAAGTAGAAATGGATGCAATAAGTATAATTCTATAAGTCTATATACGTATTTTTCTTGTGTCTACTTCCTTTCTCCATGCTACTCGCATGCTCTCCTTCACCTGAATATACCATATGTTCTGTTATATCTCTCACTCATCCTTCTTTCCTCCTCTACCTCCTGTGCTCCCCCATGCTCCATCATTAAAGAATGAATTTCCCCCTGTGGTAGCAAATTTATTATTTGTGTTCAATTTTCTTATGGTAAGTGAGCTGCTGTTTCATGTTAAATATTTAGCTGCACTGTCAATGACTACATTACTTGCTCTTTCCATTGTCCAGTCTCAGTCGGATATGATGTTTGCTAGTTGGTAAGCTGATAATAAGCTGAATATAAACATATCCTTTGACAGATAAACTGGATGGTCCATTGGCTAACTGTGACAATCTGGACATCGTAAGCTGAAGCAGGCACTGGTGTGGAATTATGATGACAAGCACAAGGTCTATACATGAATCCTGATGTCGTAATACTCTGTATTAGTACTAGCAATAGTTACGAAAGCCATAGGGGCATTGTGTTGTACATATGAAGCAACTCTATTGATTTCATATGACACTTTATTGATTCTGTGTTGTCACCATGTGTAAACACTGCATGTGTACTGTGTGCTATTGAGTACATTCATTCCCTGCGTGACATCCTAGGTGTCAGGCCATGCCAAGTCGCTTATATCAGTAATTTTGAAACAAACGAATATCTTTAGCTCGTCTTTTTCAGTCATGATGAAGAGGATTCAGCAAATCAGGAAAACTCCCTGTACAAAATTCCTCTCTCCGAAATCACAGTGCCATCGCCATCACATCATGCCCTGATGGAAGAGAAAGCCCTGGCTTCACCGCCAGAGGAACAAGAGGAAGAAAAAATTCGGCCTGTAGGAAACTTGGAAATAGTGAGTGACACGGTTCTCGTGACGAACGTGCAGTTACGATAAATGTTATGATAGATTATTAGAATACTTTGAATTAGTATTATGAGGGTAATAAGATGCAACTGTTATGCAATAGTTGTTTTTCTAAAAATGGTGTCTCGAAAAACAACCTATTATAACCAGTTAAACAGGTTTTAAAATGGTTATTGCAAGATTTTTGCTCAGAAAAACTAAGTAAAGCTGAATATAGTCTCACCTGACAGCGGAAATATCACTGATTACACCAACATTAAAAATACTAAGATTTTATGCAGTTATAGCATAGAAAAATGGATTTGACCACATCGTAACAGCAATAAATTTTATCGTATGCCGATAATGCCTAATGGCAGAATTGGTAAACTTGTGAATTTGTGTCGGTGATGAATTGAAAACAAGTGCATTCCTGTACTATGTCTATGGCAGATAAGCTACAAGCTAATCCATACTTCCTGTTAGTTCAAGATGACAGAAAACGAATGTTTACAAAAACGATTAGTTCGAAACTGGCAGTTTTTCGGTGAATACGAAGGTTCTAAGACATTTTATTGTTACTCTAGACAATTGCTGTTACTCAAGCAATAACGGTAGGTGTCATGAAAGTGGTGAAAACACTGGAAAACTCTTGCAATGGTTACTTTAATATACGGCTTTAACAAGATTTTCTCAATATAAACCATCTTATCTTTTGGTGCATCTTACAAATTCATAAATGCAGTGAATTATTTTGTTTGTTCTGTCATATTACGTTTCAGTTCAGATTTGCTGACAAATGGGACAAGCTGTTTATGTTTGTGGGGACTGCTGCAGCACTCTTTCATGGGGCAGCACTACCGCTTATGATTATCGTGTTCGGTGATATGACCGACTCGTTTGTCAAGAATGCCATCTTCACGCAAATTACCGAGAAAATGGAGGAGTTGAACATGTAAGCACATTTGCGCGATCGCTGGATATTTCCGTGTTTAACACGACGACAAAGTCCGAACTAGATGAGAAGTGAAATCCAAATTGGGTTGATTAATGCCCCGAATACTCATAGGCAGCTCACGCTTCTTCTTTCCTCAATTATTGGTTTTATTACGATATCACGTCAAGTCCGACTAAAGGCAAATGCTCCGAATGTCGCATTCACTTGTGGAGGAATGCCAATCTCCCGACATGTTGTGTGTTACCATATTGGTTTACAGCACTGGAGAATTGGGCAACTGCACCGGTCTGACGTCACCAGAGTGCATAGAGGGAGTGCAGCATTTCTTAGACATGCTTGGCATCAACCTGGGCTATGACCTAGCAGAACTAGCGGAAGCTGCCAGCATCACAGACCTGATGAGACGGTTTGCCGTGTTGTACATCGGAATCGGATGCGGAGTGTTCGTTTTCGCTTACATGCAGGTAGTGCGCATGAGCAACGACAAATGAGGTGTTGATGTGTAACCAGGGCGTCGAAAGCTGCTACACATTTTCACCTTTCTGGGACAAGCAGATATGCTGCTAGAAAAGTGAAAGTATGACTATATGCACTTTTATACTGAAAATGGTTGATATAAATTGGCATTATCAGGAGTAGATAATAGGGAACTATTATCCCTATTATCTACTCCTGGCATTATGTATCCTCGAGTGCACTACCTAGTGCCAGATCATCATACTCAGCAAACCTATACACTCTGATTTTGTCTGTGACCTTTGAAGGAAAAGTAGCAGGTTTTGTTAGTTTTAACCTTTGCATAATGTTGATAGTATAAGGTTATAGTAGTGTTTTATAGGCATGAAATACACTAGGCATATTAACAGTGGGCCACACTGGCAGAGGCAGTTCATCGAGTTTTTATTGCAAATTATAGAAAAACATGGATGACGGGCCATTTGTAAACAATGTGCCGAGCCAAGAATTTCTAGTTTTTGTTTTCAGTGATGAGCATTCAATGAATTTTTTCTATGTTGAAACGTTTGCTTGAATGTTAAAATCAGTTGCACGTTGTGACACTATGCATTTACTGTTTTACTTTACGCTCAGATTTCATTTTGGGCCATGGCTGGAGAGCGACAATCCCACCTCTTGAGACAGACATTTTTCCGAGCTGTCATGCGACAGGAGATTGGCTGGTTCGATGTACATCACAGCGGCGGTGTCAGCACACAGCTCGTCGAGTATGTCAGTTATAATTGCCTACGATATTCTGATCATTACTCACTCTAATGATCAATTAAAGTATCGCATCTGATCTTTTCTTGGTCACCGACTCTTCCGTGCATTACTCGTCTGTTGAGATTGCACTGTAGTATTCCCCACTCACTGTTCATACAATTTATCTGCCACAGAAGTTTTTCCTCTTTCATCCTTGCTGACTCTCGGCTTGGTGTATGACAGAAAACATTGGTGTTTATAGTACTTTGTTGACATGTGAAACGGCAGACAAAATTTAAAACAGACATTTTAGACTGGCCTAAGATTTCTTGACCCACACTTAGTTGTACTATGTGTAAATGCTAGGGAGCCAGTGTAGGCGTTTCTTCTTCACGATATATCGTAGCTAAGTATTCTTGGTGTTTCTGACGACAGACCCGCTGCTTTGTGAATCTAAGGCGGCACGAGCTTGCTGTTTGCAAACCGCTTTGCCATTGTCGTCTGAAAAATCTAGGCAGGCAACGAAGCGTGTTTATTGTGCGCTTGCAGTAACATAGCCAAGTTCAGTGCGGGTATCGGTGACAAGCTTTATCGTACGCTCGCAGTAACATAGCCAAGTTCAGTGCGGGTATCGGTGACAAGCTTTATCGTACGCTTGCAGTAACATAGCCAAGTTCAGTGCGGGTATCGGTGACAAAACCTTTATCGTGTTGCTTGCAGTAACATAGCCAAGTTTAGTGCGGGTATCGTGACAAACTTTATCGTGTGCTTGCAGTAACATAGCCAAGTTCAGTGGGGTATCGGTGACAAGACTTTATCGTGTGCTTGCAGTAACATAGCCAAGTTCAGTAGCGGCGGTATCAGTGACAAACTTTATCGTGTGCTTGCAGTAACATAGCCAAGTTCAGTGCGGGTATCGGTGACAAGCTTTATCGTACGCTTGCAGTAACATAGCCAAGTTCAGTGCGGGTATCGGTGACAAGCTGGGCATCATGGTGCAGTGGGTGACCGCCTGCATCACTGGTTTCATCATCGGCTTCACCTACGGCTGGAAGCTGACGCTCGTCATCCTCTCTGTCAGTCCGCTGCTGGTCTTCTCTGCTGTGATCGTGTCCAAGGTGAGTGCAAGCATTGAGGTTAGGCTCGTTGGTGGTAGGACGTAAAATTAATGCCGGCTCGTGCAGCCGCCATCGCAGTTGCCATGTAAAGTGGCAGGTACCATGGCCTCTGGATGGGTGTCTGATGAGAGTGGAACTTTCTCGGTGTCTTGCTTGGTCAATTATCAGTTTTTCAGTATGTTTTCTGTCGTTCCTAAAAATGGTTAGAATTGTCACATTATCAATCGCTAGATTTTAAGAAGGCAAGATAAAAAAAATGTGGGTTTGGTATTTCTGCTCTGATTTAGTGCTGATCTGGTGCTCATATTCTGGTGCTAGTGTAAAAATTCTAAAATATCACAAATTTTACAATTTATGTCCTGGATATCAGAATAGTAACTGTTGTATAGGCATTGCTTAGGGCATGTAATATCAGATAAGCTATAAATTCATAAACTAATTCAAGAAGTCTTAACTAAAACATTTCTGTAGTATATAGTACGTGTTTTTTAGCTAATTTGTTGTTTCATTTTTGCCGTCACTCATAGTTGGCCGCAGCTATGAGCACTATGGAGTTGAAAGCCTACGCGACGGCCGGTGCCGTGGCTGAAGAAGTGTTCATGGCGATTAGGACAGTGGTAGCCTTTGGAGGGCAGGAAAAAGAAGCAGACCGGTAAATACACATCTTGCTTGCGGGTTTCTTTTATGCGAAAGTGCTTTCCTGCCTCGACCTTTTTGTCTAGGAGAAATCGGTAAAACTGAGATCGTGGCTATCATAGGACTGCGCTAGCAGCGTTTTAGAAGGCAGGAAGAACTAGCGAACGTATGCACACACAGATACCTCGTGTGCGATCCTTTTATAGCAAAAAAGGCAGTCTAGTCTTGTTCGGGAAAAAAATTGATAAAAATCGAGGGCGTTTTCAGCTACAGCCAGAATCTCGTGGCGGCGAAGAAGATGGGCATTAGGAAGGGCATGATGACAGGTCTGGGCATGGGATTCGCCTGGGTCGTTATCTTCAGCACTTACGGGCTGGCGTTCTGGTACGGATCACGCCTCGTGCGCGAATCCTTCCTCAACGGTGATGAGGAGTACACGCCGGGAATACTGATAACGGTAAGCTGATAGCTCGCCTGTCGAGCGTGTCTCGTCGTTGGCCGGGGGCAGTCGTGTCGGCTTGGTTTGATCTTGTTCTAGTAAGGAACTGTTGTGAAAAGAATGCTTAAGTTTTAGTATCTATTGGCCAAGCGTTTACTATTGGCCAAGTCAGTATTCTCATGAAATTTAATTCACTGGTCGCTATATTTTATGTGTGCGTGCGTGCGTGCGTGCATACTAATAAATATAGTCAGTGGTTAATCGTAATGTGGATCCTTTTGAGTATAAATTTGGGCATGTGCTTGTATGCTCAGATGGATTTTGTTCTTCACTGCTAAGATGTGACATTGATGTGTGTTTCAGGTGTTCTTTGCCGTGATGATTGGCGCGTTTGCGCTTGGTCACGCAGCACCGCATGTGGCAGACTTCGCCACGGCTCGAGGAGCAGCGGCAGCCATCTTCAAAACAATTGACAGTGTACTGTAACATTACATGCGCTGCGCATTAATTCTCCGCGCAAAGCTAATATTACTGAGTTGACAGATTACTATATTGGGTTTTAATGTTTGCACGTGAGCATGTGTTTGCTCAGTAAAGTCTATAGCAACATGCAAATAAGCTTATACTGTGTAAATGTTTCATCAGCAGCTATCGATTGCATTGCAATAATGGTAGAATTAGCCATGATCAGGATGATTCCAAAAATTTATTTAGATAATTGTAGCAATGATTTGGAGACTATTGGAATCTAGAAAACTAGAAACTAGATGATTGTAAATGATATGTTGTGTATGGCAGGTCAATAGTAAGTCACAGTAGTCAACAGTCAATTAGTTTCATATACTACAGGTTCCATGCAGGTGCTAGAACCTGGTGTCATGGAATTTCAATATGAAATTTTCCAGGTCTGGAAAGTCCTGGAAGATAGACTAATATTTAGTTTGGTCCTGGAAATTAAGCACATGCCTATTGTGTCCACATTTTACAATCCACAATAACAAGTTCAATACACTGAAAATAGAGCAATGTTTACTGTTGCAGAGGCCATAAAACCTTCTTACAACAAGATATTATTTACTATTGTTTATTGGAAGATACAAAGTACTATATTTGGCTTCTATTTCCAAGCTCTGGGAAATTAACTGTCTACATGCCGTGTTTGCTATAGGTGTATGAACCCTAGTGCTAATATAGTATGCTTGCTCCATGGTAGTTGCAACAAGCACCCGAGCATGCATTTCATTTATTGGCCCAGGAAAAATCAATATAGCCAAGTTATGAATTGCAGGAATTTCGTCTTAACTGTCTTGCACTTCTTTATTCCATAGGTGCCCTCAATAGATGTTATGTCAGAAACGGGAGAGAAGCCCAACAATCTTGTTGGTGACATTGAGTTTAAGAATGTCTTCTTCAAATATCCATCAAGACCCGATGTTAAGGTTGGTGTTTCATTCAGACGTAAAGTTATTGCAATTAATGGTTTTATGAAATACACAGGTATCTAAAGATAATTGTCCAGAATTTGGCATTGTTAAATTGTTTGTCATGCATAACGTAGTGCATGCATGTTTTAAATTTGTTGTTCACATGTGAATGCACATGCATGTTCGTGTGTAGGTGCTGGAGGGGCTATCCTTCTCAGTCAAGAATGGACAGACTGTGGCACTCGTGGGGCCAAGTGGATGTGGGAAGAGTACGACTGTGCAGCTAATTCAGAGGTTCTATGATGTTGAAAGTGGCTCCGTAAGTAGATTCAACGATTTAGTCCTTTCAGATACGAAAAAATTCAATTAATTCAAACTGTGATGACAGCGTTTGTTTATATTACTCTTGTTACTGTCAGCTGCGCTTAACGATATGACGCGATAGCAAACAGTCGCAATTGCTGTTGGCAGGTGTGCTCAGCTATGGATTACAAATGGTCAGCATTGCTGTCAGGTGTTGTTAGCGACGTGTCATGATTACAAACCTCCCGTCGCTATCTGCAGGTGAGTCTGGACGGCAACGACGTGCGCAGCCTCAACGTGCGATGGCTTCGCGAGCGCATCGGTGTCGTCGGCCAGGAGCCCGTGCTGTTCGCAACGACCATCGCAGAGAACATCCGCTACGGATGCGGTGGCGTCACGAACCACGACATCGAGCAGGCGGCCATGATGGCCAACGCTCACGATTTCATCCTCAAGCTACCCGAGGTGCGCGCGCGTTTAGGGGGTTCTGATGTGCGTGTGTGTGTTCGGGGGGTCTCATGTGCGTGCGCATTCAGGGGGTTCTGATGTGCGTGTGTGTGTTCGGGGGGTCTCATGTGCGCGCACGTTCGGGGGTTCTGATGTGCGTGTGTTTGGGGGTTACTAGGTGCACGCGTTTGGGGGTTCTGATGTGCGTGTGTTTAGAGGTTACTACGTGCGTGCGTTTGGGGGTTCCTAGGTGTGTGTGCGTTCGGGGGTTCTGATGTGCGTGTGTTTGGGGTTACTAGGTGCGCGCGTTTGGGCGTTCTGATGTGCGTGTGTTTGGGGGTTACTAAGTGCGCGCGTTTGGGCGTTCTGATGTGCATGTGTTTAGCGGTTACTAGGTGCGCGCGTTTGGGCGTTCTGATGTGCGTGTGTTTGGGGGTTACTAGGTGCGCGCGTTTGGGGGTTCCTAGGTGTGTGTGCGTTTGGGGGTTCCTAGGTGTGTGTACGTTCGGGGGTTCTGATGTGCGTGTGTTTGGGGTTACTAGGTGCGTGCGTTCGGGGGTTCCTAGGTGCATGTGTTCAGGGGTTCTGAGGTTCACATGTTCGAGACTTCCAAGGTGCGTGCATTCACGGGTTCCAAGGTGCGCACGTTCGGTGGTTCCTAGGCATGTGCACGTTTGTGGGTTCCATCTTGACAACGTCGCGACGATAGTCCACATTTCTTCAGTCGTTGCTTTTCTTTTCATCAGTACGGGTGTCCCCCTTAGTCCTTAGTAGTTAGCCCTTAGTAGTAGTTAGTTAGTGTTGCATCTTGGGGGGGGGGGTAAAGTATATTTCGAGTGTTTCGTTCAACACATTTTTATCCATTGAATTTCATACTAAAGCCCTTTCCATTATATTTCATAGTGAAAAGTGCCAGTGGTGCACGCACGCTGGTTTTGTTCTGCTCACTTTGCATCGAAAGCGTACGTTCCTTCGACCAATGCTTTCCGTTATACATGGATGCAAACAATAACCGTTAGAATTCGGGCAAGTTTAAGTGCAAGCTCGTTTGTTTATATGTTTGTAGAAATACCAGACACTGGTCGGAGAACGAGGAGCACAGCTGAGCGGCGGGCAGAAGCAGAGAGTCGCCATCGCGCGTGCGCTGGTCAGAAACCCGCGCATCCTGCTGCTGGATGAAGCCACCTCAGCTCTCGACACGGAGAGTGAAGCCACTGTGCAAGCTGCGCTCGACAAAGTACGTCTACAAACACGCGTCGCCTACCTGTTATAAACCGTCCCTGTGCATACCATGCGCTGCTACCAAGTCCTAACTCAAAGCGGGTGCAGCGAACACCTGCTGCGTTGCTGCTTGACCTACATTCTAGAAAGCAAACTTTAGCACTAACGATAATTTAACAGCAATAGAAAATAAAGAGTGATTTTTATATAAACCGTACATTATCGATCATAGTGATGGTAGCAGTTATTTATGTTCGATGCGAATTCAAAAATGTGTTTGCTCACGTTTTGCTTTTTCTTGTGATTTTCACGTTTAGGCAAGGCAGGGTCGTACGACGATCATCATTGCTCACCGATTGTCGACTATAAAGACGGCCGACATGATCGTTGTCGTGCAAGAAGGGCAAGTCGGTGAAAGTGGGAGACACTTGGAGCTAATGGAACGTGAAGGTCTCTACTATGAACTAGTCATGGCGCAGGTGAGAATACGTTTTCGCGTTTTCGTCGCTGCAGCTGTATATTTGTGCTCTAAATTTGCGCAATGTGTCGTAATTTCACTGGATTCATTTTATTCTCTGGGAACGGTGCGCGGACAACACGTCAATTACTCTACGTCATCGACAAAATCAATATCGCACGGCTACTGTCATGATGACATTAGATCGTCGTCGATGAAACTAATATCGCACGGCTACTGTCATATCACTCCATGCAGGCGGTAACCCTCTAACGCTACGGGAGCTGGAAGTGGCGGAGGGGGCGGGGGGTGTGTCCCAATCCATGTGCAGCCACGTAACATCTATACGCTAGGGTAGTAGCGAGAGGGGGGGGGATCCCACTCCTGTGGCAGCGGTAACCTCTACTTGTTTAGGGAGTGGGAGTGGCGGGGTGGGGGGGGGTCCCACCTTCATGTCGAGCGGTAGACATTAACGCTAGGGAGTAACGGGAGGGGGGGGGATCCCCACTCATGTGCAGCGGTAACCTCTAACGCTAAGGCAGGGATGGCGGGG